GGGGGGGGGGGTATCCATGGGTACACATTTGTCAGCCCTCGCTCGGAACAAACATAACGGCAATTGAGTTCATGTTACTTGCTGTCAATTTGAATTTTAAACTTTTTAGCATATTTCGCAGTATTTTCTGTTTATCTCTAGATGACCCCTGACGAGTGCCTGACCGTCAATAGCAAAGACCGAAGGTGAGCCCATGTGGCTAGGATGGGATCTCGGTCCTGGCAGTCTTCACCGCAGGGACTCAACCCTCACATCCAGATCAGTGACATACATTACGTTTTTTTTTCCCTTTTTCTTTTCATTGTTTTTCTCTTTTTTAAAAACCCAGCCAGGTCTACTATGTGGACATTGTGGAGTGATATGAGCACCTCCCCGCACCGTCTTCCCCCGAACATAATGCATTTGCCTTGTATTCAAGTTTACAGAAAGTTCAAAAATTCGAATAGAACACATGCATTGTATTTGAGAACAAAGGCTGTTTCGAATAGAACACATATGCATTGTATTCGAATAGAAAGCAACCCTTTGCATTGTATTCGTTTACAACCTAGGCTACCAGCTGGGCCGCCCGGGTCACCTTGTTTGCCCGGGCGGCCCAGCCGGGCAAGGGCCAAAGAAGGCCCCAGCAAATTAAAAAAAAAAACAAAAAAAAAAACAATAAAACAAATCTGGAAAAAACGGTTTAAAAACCTATGTTATGCAGAAAAATAAACTGAACAACTTTTGCCTCAGGGTAATATCGTAATTCCTTACCAAAATTTAAATAAAAATAAAAGTTAGAAAAATATTTTTTGTAATTTTTTAATTTTAATTCTTGTAAAAAAAGAAAAGGGTGGGGGGACAGCGGCCAGGGGACAGCCAGTAGCAGAGGGACCAAGCATTATCTGAGTGGCCAGTCGCTGGGCCTCCCCTCCGGTCCCCTCCCCCTATGAACATGAGCAGTCTTTGCTCAGTGCCAGTCAGGGGACCACCGGCCTATATCTAGGTGGCGGGCGCCAAGCTTGCCCAGGAAGGTACATGAGGCCAATGGGGATTGAAACCAATACCTCCTGAATGCCACTTGCGTGCCTTACCATCTGAGCTAGGCCGCCTGATGCTTTGCTCCTCGTAGTTGATACTAACTGGATAGACAATTTTGCAGATCCAACAAAAAAAAAAAAAAATTGTCGATCCAAAAGTCCCTCGGTGATTCCACTCCGATGATGTGATTTGAGAATAATTCCCCACCCCCAAGCCTTGTGGCCTAGTTGCACTTCTCTACTGGCCATCCGCCAACATTTTGAATGCATCAGGACGGATTTCCCTGTTGAGATTCATTCAGAACGTTGCCCGACGGCAAGTAGTACAATTAGGCCCTTGAGCTTAAACCGCCACTCCATCCGGACCTATTTTGACAAACCAAAAGTTGCATTTCCTCGAGAGCCTAAGCTCTGCAGTGCTGCGAGGGAAAAAAGAAACTCTGCCGTGCCGCCATGAGGAAGAATAACTGTGGTACCCTTCCCCACCGAACCTCTACCAGGCCCAGGCACTGCAGATTTTGGCCCGGTACTTGTAGACAAGAAAAAATGAAGTGGTGGTTTAATCCACAAGTACTGCCCCAGCCTCGAAGAAACAAACTCGTTGCCAGCACCGACAACGTCCAGGCCAGGCAGGGCAGGGCCGCCGTTGATAAACTCCATCGGCGGCCTCCGCCGCATTACCCGCCACTGAGGGGCCCGCGGCCGATGTATGGGCGTACTGGTGGCTTAAGACTCCAACAAGGACAGGACGATACATCACCCACATTCTCAAAACTCCCGACCCAACTTTTCCTTCTTGTTTTGCTGAAGAGGGGGGAGGGCCAGGGGAGAAGAGGAAGGGTGGGGAGGGAGGGCTTTAGTTGTTGTAGTCTGCACAACAAGACCTGATAGCCAATCATAACCACATTGATCAGGAAAAGTTCAAAAAACCTATCAAGCAGAGCATGGGTTCGAATCTTCAGACCACCATCTTCACCCAAACACAACCCCCCCCAGTCGTGAATGTTGAAAAGCTATCCGTCCAGTCAGATACAGGCATGATGAGGGTGCATTGTGCTTGGGGGAGGACGGTGGCCCTCCAGGAGAGAGAGAGAGAGAGAGAGAGAGAGAGAGAGAGAGAGAGAGAGAGAGAGAGAGAGAGAGAGAGAGAGAGAGAGAGAGAGAGATGAGCAAGAACTTGTGATTGTCTGTTCGTCCCGCACACGAGCACACGCACGCAAAGAGAGAGAGAGAGAGAGAGAGAGAGAAGAAAAAGCACAGCCAGGTAAGTTCTGGGTAAATTCTAACCTTGTAGAACTCCATCAACTCAGCTCCGGTGAAGGACTTCGTCTGGAAAACATGAAACAACGAAGAAACAACAATCCGCCATCCAAAGCCGATGCAAAAGGAGGCACACTCATGCCCCACAAACGAACACACACACACAAAAAAAAAAAAAAGAAAGAAGAGAAAACCATACCGAAACAAAATGATGCGCGTGCACACACACAAAGAAAAAGAGGTGGGGTGGGGAAAAAACATGGGTCAGGCACCACAAACATATGAGATGCAGACCATGTAGTTACAATGTGGCATGAAATGTGTCTCCTCAAGCAACCACCAACCAACCAACCAAAGATGCATGTATCTGTTCAAAGAATCGCAAAGACACCAAAAAACAAAACAAGATATACAAGCGAACTATGCAGACGACTCTACCCCACTACGCGCCCCCCCTTCCCCCCCGGGGTTCACAAACTGCCGAAGAAGTTTATCTTGGCCCGTACATTCACGGATCATATTCAGAAAGCCACGTTGCTGTTTCTTTTTATGGGGCCATGCTAATCTCCTCTGTATTGTTCCAATTTTAACGGATGTCGTGAAAGACATCACCATACTGATTCTCTTGAGGGCAAATGGAGAAAACATGTACACACACACGAATGCAGAGCTGACCATTGCCTTATTAGCCGAGACAACGACGCATTTGCAAGAACACCGGGCAGATTGCCAATTTGGAGAAAAACAGGATGTGGAAGAGGAGGAGAAGCAGCGATGGATGCCCAAGCAGACTGCATGCCACAGATGGTAAGCAGGCTCGCTCGCTAGAGGCGTGTGTGAAGCGTCTCTATAGGTCCACCTCCTCATGGAGAGAAAACTTAGAACACAGATGAGCACAAGGCGGACAAGCCATGACAAACAGGCCGGTCTGCTCTTTCGTCTATCACTACCACGAGGCATCCGTACATATCACCATCTCTGCGTTTGGTAGCTCAGTTGGTACAAACATGAACTTTTGAAATGCAGACCTTACTCCGGATCCAGGTGTGACCAAACGAACAGAATAAAAGCATTCCGACTTACCTGCGGCCTGTCAGATCAATGATGATATCTACAGTCGTTGCCCTTTTACGACAATGCCAAAGGGAAAAAAAAGAAAAAAAAAAACATATGAACATTCATGGGCGCATTGACCACTGGGGGTACACTCAGCACTCTTCACAAGATAGAAATAAAATAACACAAGTTTTGTTTTTTTTCTGTCACACATTTCAGAAAAGAAAAAAAATTGGAACATCGTCCTGTGTAACGCATACTAGGCGTTGCGCAGCTTTCCCCCTTCCTCTTCCCAAGACAGAGATAACACACTTTTTTTTTTCTGTCACACATATCAGAAAACAAAAACAAAACAAAAAAAAAAAACAACGGAACATCGGCTTGTGTAATGCATATTGCATTGTGAAGCTTGCCCCTTCCTTCCCCTCTCTCTCCTTCCTCACAACCGTCCTCCTCCTCCTCCTCCTCCTCCTCTACCTTCCACTCCTTCCCTACTCATTTGTTATCTACCCGATTGAACTTCAGTCAACAGCCAATTCACAGGTTCCCATAAACGCGTGCAATTGCAGAGTAGACTCGAAGGAGGCAGGCAAATCCACACAAAACCGGAGAGAGAGATGCACAGCGGAAGCTCAAAATACACAGAGAATTGAAAAACGAGTTTCAATCCTGTAAACCCCCGTCCTCCTCCAATCAATCTAGAGTACTTGTTCCAAGTATCACAACCACGTTTACAACCCCGAACAACCGAAAACAAATGATCAACGAAGTTTCCGCGAGCGTTCTTCTTCCTCCTCGCCACCTCATCACCCTGGCTATGGGTGCCGTAGCCGCAATAACCCCTCAGCTGTCACAACGTGCCCATCTGAACCAGCAACCCCAACGATAGCAGCGCCAGCTCAGCGCCCGCACAAAAGTGTAGCGCTGGAAGTCCTGATGAAGAAGGAGACGACCGATCCAGCACTTCGAAGAAGATGAAGTTCCTCGTGAGGAGGAACAGCAGATATGGCTGCCGAGTGGAAGACGGCAGCGCCCAAACCGAACAACACAGTCCTGTGGAAGCTCTCATCCAGAGCTGCGAAACAGCAGCACTGCAATCTTCAACTCCGCTTCCCAACCCCGGCTATGGCTGGGCTTCGATGAAGAAGATGACCTCGCCCAAAATAGCGCAGCGGCGCTCCAAAAACGGACGGCCAGAGTCTCCCCAGCCAACGAAAATGCGAAAAGACCCCAAACCAATTTCCTACCCGCTACTTCTACTCACGGACTAGACCTCGACGGACTCCCACGACCAGCAGCCCAAGGCTCATCTGTATCTATTATATACCCAGAACCTAGAGGGAAAAGGGGACCCAAACCCCTGGCAAGGGAAAAAGGAAAACGCCGAATCGCCTAAGCCTGACACATAGGGACAACTAGTGACAGATCTAGGGGTGAAGCCCAATAGGTCTCAAAAACTAAGAAACAAAACATACAAGTTACAGGTCATGGGATCAAGTCCCGCAAGCCTCAAAACAAGAAAACAAACAACAAAGCCGAACACTCAGTGTACAGCCCCACTGGGAAACTGCGATTCACTGCAGATTCATGTCCTGTTGCAACTGCTCGTCACCGTCCAAAACAAATAAATAAATAAATAGATTTCATCCCGTTTTACAATGGATAAGAAATTCTCAAAACCACTTCGAAAACAAACAAATAAATAAAGAAATATAGAAATAAAGAAATAAAGAATGACATGTTTCCGTTCTAATGTTTACCTGCTTCAAGGGGACAAACTGGATCTCCGTCGGAGGCAAAGCCTGCACGCATAGCCCAAAACAGCACAAAACGCAACACAGGACAAAACAAAGCCTTCAATATCCCCCTCTTTGACAGCTCCTCTTTCCTTGGAATACATTGTTCTTCGCCACCCTCTCTGTATTATTTCGCGTCATTCATACAGCCCACCTGCTGATGGTTTGAACATGATGCCAGAGCTGAATTTCCTCTGACGAACCCCAAAGAGGTAACAATCTAAACACAGACTTTGCACATGTACACACACACACACACACACACACACATGCACGCGCGCGCGCACACACAGGGTTGGTGTGAGTAAAGTCGATCACTTTCTCAGGGCTATAACTAACTCTGAGCGGCTCAGTTCCTTATCCATCAGTCATGAGCCTGGGCAGACTGTCGGGGTTCAACCTCCTCATGAGTAAGTGAAAGTAGGACAAAACAGTCTGTCACGGTAGTGCTTTTTTTGTGGAGTTGTGCATAGTAAACATGACAATCCTCCCCCCCCCCCGCCACCTTCTCTCTCTCTCTCTCTCTCTCTCTCTCTCTCTCTCTCTCTCTCTCTCTCTCTCTCTCTC